AGTAAGTAGACCAAAGCAACTTAGTGAGACCTTGTTTCAAGATTAAAAGGTTAAGGACTGTGGATATTCTCAGTATTAAAGTGCTTGCTTAGCATGCAAGAGGCCCTTGGTTGCTTCGATTCCCAGTACTACAAAATAGGTATACACACACATACACACACACACACACACACACACACACACACACACACACACAATAAAAGTGATTCAGCATGGCAATCAAAATAGCCATCCTCACCCTGATCAGTAGTTCATCAAACATCTCTTGAATTTTGGAAAGCATATTGCCTTACCTGTCCAGGACACTTGCAAGTCTCTGCAGCTTAGCAGCATGATCCTCAGCTCTGTGGACAAGGTCACGGGCTCTCCGCTTGGACATCTGCATGACCAGATTGTCTACGTGGCGCCTGATTTTAGTAGTCTACAGAAGTAGCTCATCCCGGTGATGTTCCAGATGCTATATGGAGAAATTAAAGTTTTGAAATATAAGCATATTTATCTAATAGAAACTGAGATACGATTGTCCACACTTTAACTTACTGTTAGAGTGTCTCGTGCCCCATCTGCCTGAGCACTGGCAGCATCTACCAATCCTCTTCCTTTGGCAATTAGCTTTGAGGTCAAGTTTTGTTCTTCTCGAATGTGTAGGCTTTTATCCTGCAGTAAAAATCACCATTAAAGGATTCATCATAAAAGCCAGCCAGCACCCGTCTTTGGCATAGAATGCCACGTGCCCCAGCCTATAGTCAGACTTGCTCTGTCAGATGCTAAAGATGACGCTGTTTACACAGGCCTATGTGGGTACCCTTCTAATTGAGAAGGAGCAAGCTACGGAGACAGACACTCACGTTGAATTCTCTCAGGTTGGCCTTGACAATGGGCAACAGGCGGTTGCTCTCCTGAGTCTTAGTCTCCACTTCCCCCAGGAGCGCCTCTGCTGCCTGCAGTTCAGCGCTGCAGTTAGAAAGGAGGCTGCCAGCCACTTCCTTGAATACCTCCAACTTTTCCTGAGGTTTCTGGAACTTTTTCTGGATTTGTGACAACAAATCTTTAGCAGCCCTGATAAATAAAAACAGTTCATATAGTGAGGAAATGGAAATAGAGCTTGTGTCTCTGAAATGATACTGGAAGGGATTTTTATATATCCATATCCAGTGTCTTCTTCAAACATAAATGGTATACAATAACTTCCCTCTTAAATTTTTGAGGCATGTCTTTGCCATGTTGTTGAGGCTGCCCTTGAATGCACAATTCTTCTGCATTAGCCTCCTTTGTTGCTGAAATTATGGGTGTGTACCATTGAGCTTGGTGTGGATCCTGACTGCTTAAAACAGAAATTTCCTAACATGTTTTAGTCATTGAATTAAAATAACTCATCTCAAAGAGGCTGGACTCAGAATTTGGAACTACACTATATGTTAATGATGGGAACTGAAATCTTTCACTGTAAAAAGACAAGAAATTGAAACAAGGGACCAATGTATTCATATGATAGAAAAGGTTTTTTTTTTATCCAGTTAGGAAACTAATTTTATAAAAACTTTCAAGTTGCTTAAAACATATGATTTGTACCATTAATAAATACAAGCTTTAGGAAAAAGATTTTTTTCCTTTTCATTATAAATGTTCAGTGATGTGGACAATTCATAGTGATAAAAAAGCTGCATTACTCTTCAATAACTGCTTCTTGCAAAGTTGAATAGAATATGTCACTCCCCCACCCCCACCCCAAATTGTAGCTCTTCACAACCTGTACTGGTTAATTTTTATCAAGTTGACACACTAGAGATGCCTGGAAAGAGGGAACCACAGTTGAGGAATTTCCTCCATCAGATTAGCCTGTGGCCATGTTTGTAAGTCATTGTCTTAATTGGTAATTGATGCAAGAGGGTACAGCCCACCATGGGTGGTGCCATCCCTGGGCATGTGGGCCTGGGCTGTATAAAGGGGGTAACAGAGCCAGTCAGGATAAGCAGGCCAGTAAGAGACGTTCCTCTGTGGTCTCTGCTCCACTTTCTGCCTCCAGGTTCCAGCCTCGAGTTCCTGCCCTGACTTCCCTCAGAGCTAGACTGTGGCCTGGGAGTTGTAAGTTGAGACAAAGCCTTTCCTCACCAGGTTACTTTTGGTCATGGTGTTTATCACACAACAGAGAAGGAAACTAGAACACAACCCTAGTGTCCTGTGAATCATTAAGCAGATTCCACTAGTAAAGGAGCCTGGACCTGTTCCTCAGGTCTTTCCCTCCCTGGAAACTCCATTCAGTCAGTGTACTGAAAGATTTAGGAAGATTTGCAGTAAAGAACCAATCTCTGTTTAGTAGCTGCTGTATTTCCAAAATTTCTCTGCTAACAGAACACTTTTCCATAATGAAATTATCTTTTAATAGCCCGGGGGACACTAGAGTAGAAAACAGGAATCACAACTACAAACACAATCTGTGGCATGCAGAAGAGGTCACAGGACAACCTGGGGTCAGCTGTTCTCAGAGAGGCTGGTGGGCAAGGCTGTAAGTATCCCCTAAATGACAAGACAATGGTTCAACTGTGCAAGCAATGTTGTTTACACTGAGCACCTGCTTTCCTTCTGGGAATCTGGTATTTGGATGTGTGCTAGATATGACCAGCCCCCAGTAAAACCCATGGATGCTGAATCTCTAATGACTCCTTCAGGCAGAAATTTCCACTCACATGCTACATTTTCACTCCTGGGAAACAGGTGCTAGGTGACCCTCCTGCACTTCTTCCTATGGATTCCTTCAGGCTCCTCGCACCCCTTTTCTTGGTCTGGCTGTGCATCCTCAAACAATCTTGGCCATAAATTCAAGTATATACTGAATCCTGAGCATCCTAGTGAGTCATAAAGGTGATTATGGTCTGACATAGGCATGAAAAATGGGTGTTATGTGTGCCAAAGCTGTTTATCCAGACCCAAGCACAAATCACAAATTTTCTAATAATTATAATTAATGATCTGATTAATTCCTAAATAATTCACATAATAATTCCTAAATAATTCACATATAATTATATAATATAAATATATAATATATAATGT